AAGTGGACCAATATTCCCATCTTCGAACTCGATCTAAGTTAGGCAATAATATTACGATGTACCATGTTTGGACCAGATCGGTTAATCCTTTGGAGAGTTTAAGTGCACAAGTAGACATACAAACAGACTGACCGACACCTCAAGATCGCCTTCAAATGTTCTGAAACGGCTTGATCCAAAAAAACCTTATGTCTAAAATTGTAATTTCGATGGGGCACGTTTTGGCCGTTTCAATCTTAACGCATCTACTATTTACTCTCATGAGTTATTTGAAAAGTTTTTAGTGCACCATTTTGCATCAGGAGGACGTTAATAATAATGGCAAGTAACGATTTTTGAATTCTATTAAAAATCCTTCATTTTTAATCGACTGTTCCTTAAAAATGCATTATTTTGCATTTTCGTAAAATATACATGATTTTTGAACCAGAGATCCGGGAAAAATGTTAAAAAAGTTCACGATTATTGCTCTGGAAGCCCTTATGAAAAATATTCTATAGAAAAATATAATTATACCCAACACCACAAAGTGGTCAGGGTATTATGTCTTTGTGCATTTGTTTGTAACAGGCAGAAGGAAACGAGATAGACCCATAGTTCCTTTTGATGATCTGCATAGAATCACATTCTGAGTCGATTTATGCATGTCCGTCCGTCCGTCTGTCCGTCTGTCCATGTATTTTTGTAAACAAAGTACAGGTCGCATTTATTGCCCGATCCAGATGAAATTTTGCACAGATCATTTGTTTGGACGAACCCTATTGAAATTGGAGATAATCGGTCAAAATTTAGAAATAGCTCCCATATATATCTTCGTCCGATTTGCCTTTTATTGTGCACCAAACGTGTAATATCAGCCCGAATTGTATAGAATTTCGCATATACACCCAAATCAGGCTTGAAAATATGTATGCCAAATTTGATCGAAATCGGTTCAGATATAGCTATAGCTCCCATATATATATTGTTCATCCGATTTGTTATCGATCGTCCACCGCCGCCGTAATATGCACTCTGCAACAACAATATTTGGGGAAATATATCAAATACAGCTCAGAAATACATTTGCTAAATTTTATCGAGATCGGTCCAGATTTGGATATAGCTCCCATATATAACTTCATCCGATTTACCTTTTATTGTGCACGAAACGTCTAATATTTCTCCAAAAGGGAAGGAATTTGGCACTCACGATATAGCTATAGCTCCGATATATACTGTTCGTCCGAAATATGCACTTCGTAACAACGATATTCAGGGAAATACATCAAATACAGCTCAGAAATATCTTTGCCAAATTTTATCGAGATCGGTTCCGATTTGGATATAGCTCCCATATATATCTTTATCCGATTTCAAATTAATTGTGCACCAAACATTGTATGAGAATTACGACTATTCTAATTTTTATAAATTTTTAAAATGGGAAAAAAATAAAACCAAATGTTTGTAATTTCCAAAATTTTGACCTTCCTGCAGTCTTTGAAATATATAAAAATCTAATACCCTTTTTGAGAGTTTTTATAAGCACTAAGTCATGATCATTATTGTGGCTACAATCTGAATATTTTGATTAAGATGCATACAGATGTTAATATTTGGTTATGGGATTTTCTTCCTCCGACACAACATAAGTACATATTTTAAAATTATTTTTTTATATTTCCAAAAAGTTTTCTTCGGACATACGACCCTCAAAATTAGCGACTGAAACATGGACATGAAGCTCAAAGAAACTCCAAAAATAAAATTAATAACGAAAATAGTCATGCTTTAGCAAAACATATACCAAGAAAATTTAATTACGGCTAGGTTTGGTTTCGCTCACCGTCATGGAAACACATTAGGCGCCGTTTCGAATTTAATTCAAAATTACAGCATTTAATGTGGATTCATTAACCCAAGTTCATGGTTAATACCTCCAATTTTTTTTTATGCGGTCATAAAACGTTAACGTGGGAAATAGAGCATTTGCCGAATTATTTAATTTACTCCATTTGATGGAACGATTTATTTAATATACCAAGACATATTTCCACATGTGAATCTATGTTCGCATTTCATATTTTTTAATATTGTCAGATATTCCTCTTATATATCCATGTACATTCCCATAAAGCATATTTAATTAATTTTAATTGCATTTGAAATTATCACATCTTTGTGGTCGGTAGCGAAGGTTCCATTCTCCCAAAGCGGCATGCAATTCATGACTGGCTGGCTTAATTAACCAAACACAAATTGATCTAATGACAGTTTCAAACCAAGGTGTGAATTTAGCTATTATTAATGACACAAAGTGTATGGGTATTGTAATGGTAGACAATACTTTACAGCATTGAGTTTTTATGCAAGAGCAAAAAAGAAACCAAACTTCTGTAGCTCCACCAAAAAAATAACCCAACTTAATTTTTTGCAAGAATAACCAGCAGACATGCTCAAATCAGAATCCATCGAACATGAGTTCTCCTCTGAAAACCAATTACTTAACAAATCAAACACTAATCGCAGACTGATTTCTATATTTGACTCTCGCTTTCAATAGCGTGGCAATTTTAGAGTGCAGAGCACTCACAGCACTGACACGTTGCTGTTCTCTATGTAATAAATCAAGACAGCATTTTGCTGGAGCAGCAAAAAAAAAATGTATGCTACACTAAATATATATTCGATGAATGGCCAGCTCATACGAGGGTGGTGTATTAAAAAAAAGGAAAAGGTTCCACTGAATATAGTGACATTAAAATGTTATAAAAGAATTTAAAAACAATTGGATATTATTGAAAAAAAAAAAAAATAAAATTTATAAACTTTTTAGATCTTCAACAGAAAATCAGGGAATCTTTCACAGAAGGTCAAGGGGTTCTTCCATAGAAAATCATATTATTTGGCGATCTTCCATTGAAGATCAGGGGTGATCTTCCATATAAGATCAGGGGTGATCTTCCATAGAAGGTCAGGTGATCTTCCATTGAAGATCAGGGGTGATCTTCCATAGAAGATCAGGGGTGATCTTTCATATAAGATCAGGATTGACCTTTCATAGAAGATCAGGTGATCTTCCATTAGGAGATCATTGCGTGGAAGATCGGGCCATCTTCCATAGAAGATCAGGGGTGTTCTTCCATAGAAGATCAGGGGATCTTTCATAGAAAATAAGGTGATTGTCTAAAGAAGGTCGCTTGATCTTCAATAGAAGGTCGGGATATTTTTCATAGATGATCAGGTCATCTTCCATACATAATTTGATGATTTTCCATAGAAGAAAAACTGATTTCCTAAAGAAGATCAGGTGATCTTCCATAGAAGTTCAGGTAAACTTTCATAGAAGATCAGGTGATATTCTCTAGAAGAGCAGGCGATCTTCTTCTCTAGAAGAGCAGGCGATCTTCTTCTCTAGAAGAGCAGGCGATCTTCTTCTCTAGAAGAGCAGGCGATCTTCTTCTCTAGAAGAGCAGGCGATCTTCTTCTCTAGAAGAGCAGGTGATCTTCTTCTCTAGAAGAGCAGGCGATCTTCTTCTCTAGAAGAGCAGGTGATATTCTTCTCTAGAAGAGCAGGCGATCTTCTTCTCTAGAAGAGCAGGTGATCTTCTTCTCTAGAAGAGCAGGTGATCTTCTTCTCTAGAAGAGCAGGTGATCTTCTTCTCTAGAAGAGCAGGTGATCTTCTTCTCTAGAAGAGCAGGTGATCTTCTCCTCTTGAAGAGCAGGTGATCTTCTTCTCTAGAAGAGCAGGTGATCTTCTTCTCTAGAAGAGCAGGTGATCTTCTTCTCTAGAAGAGCAGGTGATCTTCTTCTCTAGAAGAGCAGGTGATCTTCTTCTCTAGAAGAGCAGGTGATCTTCTTCTCTAGAAGAGCAGGTGATCTTCTTCTCTAGAAGAGCAGGTGATCTTCTTCTCTAGAAGAGCAGGTGATCTTCTTCTCTAGAAGAGCAGGTGATCTTCTTCTCTAGAAGAGCAGGTGTCTTCTTCTCTAGAAGAGCAGGTGATCTTCTTCTCTAGAAGAGCAGGTGATCTTCTTCTCTAGAAGAGCAGGTGATCTTCTTCTCTAGAAGAGCAGGTGATCTTCTCTAGAAAAGCAAGTGATCTTCTTCTCTAGAAGATCAGGTGGTCTTCCATACAAGATCAGAGTGTGATCTTCCTTAGAAGATTAGGGGTGATCTTCCATAGAAGATCAGGAGTGATTTTCCATAGAAGATCAGGGGTGATCTTCCATAAAAGATCAAGTGATCTTCTTAGCAATATCACCCCTAATCTTATATGGAAAATTACCCCTGTCCTTCTATGGAAGATCACCTCTGTTGATTTTTATAGTTGATCTTTCATAGAAGATCTAGTGACCTTCCATAGAAGATCTGGTGATCTTCCTTAGAAGATTTGATGATCTTTCTACAAATGTTCTCTTCGAGCTTTCATAGTAAATTATTCGTTGATCTTCTTGAGAACATCTTGTTTTCTCCTGTTTTAAATCATTTTAAATTTTTTCATCAAAAAGTACCCATTCCCTACAATTTTCATACGAACCTTTTCCAATGACGTCGTATGCACTCGAAAACGTCATGCATATTTCTTGTTATTGCTTTCAAGTCGGGCTCTTACTCAGTTGTAATTTTCGGTTTCTATTTATTATTATTTAATCTAATTCTGCCAACTTGTACAGTGACGACAATGACGCTTTGTTGCTCTGTATCGCTGTGTGCTGAATGTTGTTGTCGTTGACGGCGTCGTCGTCGTTTTGCTGAATATGTCTACTCGAAGTGAATGAATTTAATGTTTAATATTTAACCCTCCTAATGGCGGCTAGCAAGAGTCGATGTACGAATGAATTGTTTTCGTGTAGTTATTGTCGCTGTTTTTTGTTTGTTTGCGTTTTATCACGGGTGGAGTCTGTTCCGATGCCAAAGCTAAAGTATGTTTGAGTATGTTGCTCGTGCATAGTTTGTGCTGGCTGGGTGGCTTGGTGTGCTGACTTTTGCTATTGCTGCGGCTGCTGCTTGATTTTTTGGTGGTTTTGTATATAAAAGCGATTTCCTTCTTGGTTCTAGTTATCAGTTGCCTGCAACACAGCGAGTCGTTAAGACGTTTACAACTAAATAATTTACAAACCAAACCCCCCAAAACAAAAACTTTAAACCTAGAAATGGCTTTCTTCAAAGTGAGTCCTCCGAGTGATGTGGAGTTGAAGTTGAAAAAAAAAAAAACTATTAAAAAAATTATACAATTTTTATAAAAACTCAAAAAAGAAACATTTTTGTTACTGTTTATTGTAAAAAGTGCAAATTTTTAAACAAGTGTTTCGAATTTATTTTCTTTTCATATTTGATCGTGAACAAATAAAGTCCTTGATCTGCTTGGCTGTCGTTGGTGTAGCCACAGCTGGTGTCTTACATGGTGCTCACGGTGGTCCTGGCCTGTATGCTGGTGCTCCAGCTGTCTATGCTGGTCATGGCCATGGCCATCCCGACGAAGGTTTAGATTATCATGTGAGTATTGGTGAAAAATGAAAAAATTGTAGGAAATTTTGAAAATAATCGACTAAAAACTATTGATTATCATATGCCGTAATTGGAATAGAAGACAAAAGGTCCCCTTAATGTCTTATAATCCTATATTCAAATTCTTAATGGACCTTCAATAAATAAATATTCCAATTTAGTCTGAATAAATTCGTTAGGTTCTTGTGGAAAAAGCCTACTTCAAATGATAAAGAGATTCTAGATCTATCTAATCATCAGTAATAGGTATTTATACCACATGATCACGAGGATATTTTTCACCTCCTGGAAAATATTGAATATTTCTTTCTGGAAGAAACGTAACCTCAATTTTGACTTATGGAAGGGAAATAGGTTTACAGTAGAATTAATTTTATCCTTTTTATTTATGGCTATATCTTGTGAAAAAGTCTTGGTTAATTTTTTTGAGAATTTTCAAAAAAGCGAGTAATAAATTTTATTCCCATATGTTGAAAGATTTGTGAAGTTAACCTCAGTACAGGTGGAGAACAGCCACCACAGGGAAATACATAAATCTCCACATTTTTTTTTTCAAAATTTGCTAAAAAGTTCTAAGCAAATAACCCTGATAAGGATAAACCATAATCAAGAAACCAAACAGTTGTCCCCAGTGTGGACAACCTTTAATTTGAGAAAAAAATGTTCACTGATATCGACATATGATAGTTCGCATACCTCTTAATGAATTGAAAGAAAGAAGTATTTTTAAAAGATCAATAAGTGATTTTACTGAGTATTCGTTGTCGAAAAATGTAAAGTTGTCGAAAAATGAGCCAGAAATGGATATTAAAACCTTTCTGGAGATAATGAGACCCAATAAAATGTGCAGAAATTGCTTTGAAAAATTGACAATTGCGGGATGGGTGTGAGTGCATGCTCCTTCACCTCTCAGCAAAATTTTTCAAATGATCTAATTCGTCCTTCCATACAAGTTTAGGGTTTTTCCTAAATGAATTCGCATTCAAACCAATAGAAATATTTTTTAAAGTCAGGACGGGCATTGCTACATACCTACATTAATCCTTTAACTACCAACTGTTCAATGTATTGACATGCCTCTCCAAATGTCTTCCAAATATTAGTCTTCAAATAAAAGAAAATACTTTGCATCGACTGAATCTTTAAAATCAATTCTCAGCAAAATTAACTAACATGCCAAAAAGGATACCCACATATAAGAAACCCTTAAGTTTCAGACGATTTAGTCCAGTCTTGGTTTTTGTCTGTCTATGACTACCAAGAAAGTCTTAATATTTAAAATGTATCTCTGAATTTTGGCATCGATATTCGTATTACATTTTGGATTTTTGGTATTCAATAGGGACTTTTGATGTCACAATGGTGACTTTGGACTCCCACAATGGTGATACAGCGTAATATTTAATATTTTAAGATCTCAGCCACATTTTCACATTTCTGTGCCAAAGCTTTCCCAGTTTTATGTCCTCCTTCAAAAATTGCCAATATAGAGCAACCTTCGTTAAATACATATGTAGAAAAGCAACCGATTTCAAGTATTTGGAACATTATAGAGATTTCTCCACAGATCTGGCTATAATTTTGGGTTATATCTTCTGACATGGCCCGAGGGAAAGATTTGTGTAAAAGTTGTCGTAAAATGAGCCAGTAATTGATGTTAAACCCGTTCTGGAAATGATGGAACTCAATGGACAAAATATGACCTTATCCACATAATATGTGCAGTAATTGATGCAACTTTTTTTTAAATGATCTAATTCGTCCTTCCACACAAGTTTAGGTTTTCCCCTAAATTAATTTGCCTTCAAATCAATAGAAAAATTTTTTTAAGGCAGTGCGGGCATTGCTACTTACCTACATAATTCCTATAAATCCCAACATTTCAAGTAATAGACATGCCTCCCCAAACGTCCTCCATATATCAGTCTTCTCATTAAAGAAAATATTTTGTATCGACTGAATCTTAAAAATCAATATTCCTATTGATATTTCAATGAAGTTTGTTTCTTAAGTCTTTTGTTTTATCTAAATATTAACCCTTTTCTCCTCCAAATATTATTACAAGTAGAATTATATTTGAATGACAAACAAAAGACTTAGGAAACGAACTTGAAGGGCTTCATAAACAAGTAATTCATTATACCCTTAGCCATATGGCTATAGAGGGTATATATCATTTGATACGGCCAAAATGTACCTGATCGAAATAACGGTAGGGTCTAATCCTAGGTCTCTTTGGACATTTGTGGTCGATCAAGCGATGTCCGTCCGTCTGTCTGTCTGGCTGGTGCGAAGGGAGTATCCGATTTGGTCTAAACTTGCTACATCGTAATATTATTATTAAACTTAGATTCCTTCGTTTTAAAATTTTTCCAAGATCAAAGTTCGAGTCAATAGTCGTTTCAAAATTTTTCCATTTAAAATGTCATTAGCATTTTTTAAACAAAATGGATTCTCAATTAAAATTAAATTCATTTTCTAACATAAATAACTTAAAAAATTGATTTGTATGCTTTTATCTGCATATTAAATCATCTTACCAAAAATAATCGACATAAAGGCCATTTCACAAAAATTAAAAACAATGGTTCCTGGTTTGGAAATAAATACTACTTTCCTTTCCAAAGAACGGTACTTGTAAACCATCAACCACACCAAATATGCCTGATGAGTCGCTTAACTAATGTCAAAATGCCCCGCATAAGGGTGAGCGTGTGATAGTGACTCAATGACTGTCCTTACCACTACAAATTCACCCTCGAAAGAGTAAAAAAATATAGATTGAGAATTATAAGATGAAAGACGTAAGGTACATATAGGCTGAAAGTGGGCATTTTCTGATATCCACCAGAAATTTGAGAAGTACTGAAAGTTTTGGTTTATTAAAAATTCATACATTCATTCATACGCGCACGCGGAGCCTCCAAAAATGTAGAACAAACAAGAACTCCTAATAGTTTCCGTAAAATGCATACTTCTGTTTTCAAATTCGTTAAAAAAAACTCATTATCTTTAGATATCTGGATCTTGTGGAGCAGTAGAAAAATGGAAAAGGTTGTTTGCAAGAATATTCCCCTTAGAAACCAAAAGTTTGAATTTTTATTAAAAAATTTCGAAATTTCATACATCTAACTGCATAGTCCCTGATATAGGTCAGAAAAAACTGGTATTTGCCAATTCCAACAATGGAAAACTATTATTTTTTTTACCTCATCTTCCGATTATTAAAAATCACACAAGCATATTAGCAAGAACCTTCAAGTTTTCCGATTTTTTCTCCTATCGACATCGTTTTCTCTTCATCTAAATCACATAATTTTTTTATAATGTTTTAAATTTATGTCACACTTTTATATAAATTATTAACCCAGACAAGTGCATAGCAAACTGTCATATGCAATATTTCACAAAACAAAAAAATTACAAAAAATATTTAATGCAACAAGCAGCCCCGGTTACATTGCATTATTATTTCAAACAACCAACCAGCCAGACAGACATGGCTTTACATAAAATGTGGTTAATCTCCCATCAGTTTTTTTTCTTCATGTGCTTCTTCTGTTTGTTATTTTTTTGTCATTGGTTTGGTGTTTTCATATTAAATGTTTACAATTTCAAAGATATCCCAATTCCCACAGTTTAAATACCCACCAGTGGTAATCATATTTCTTGGCTGCCAAGCCACACCAAAAACCAATTCGAGACGAACCAAAAAACAACAAAAAAACATTGAAGACTAACAACACAATTTGCAAATACTTTTTGTGGTTTTGATTTGCAGCCAAACTGAATTCGTATGACGTCTGTGTGTGATGACATCAATAATGTAATTCATTTCATACGTTTGTTCATTCATGCATTGGCAGACGAAGTACTTCTTTTTGTGTTTGATGTAAATTTGTAAGAAGATATCTACTAAAGGGAGGTGGATAAAAAAATTGCACAGAAAGAGAAATATATTAACGAAGGCAATAAAGACCTATTTGTAGGAAAAAATATAATAATAAAAAACATCAAAAATATGAAGAGATTCTATAGTAGTTCAAAATGATGTAGGTTTGCTCTTAACAATTCATGGAGTGGAATTTCGGATTTATATGGGATAAGCTGTAAATTATTGTCAAATGATGTTCTTAGGTAAATTCTATATACAATAAGTAAATTTTAAAATTTCTAAAAAATCTTATGTCATGAAAAAAAAAAGTATCAGAGCTTAGAACGGTACCTCTTAATTTTTTGCCACATTGGAACTTATTGTCAAATTTCAACCCTAAAAATTTGTAATTTAACATTTTGTGTCGTATATTGGTCCACGTTTTGACTCATGCAGTCAACATTTCCCTTCTCTTTGATGAGTTATATACCCCTTATAGTGACAGGGGTATATATATCATTTTATATGTTTCCCATCGAAATAGCGATCAGAGTCGGTGAAAGACTGGCTGTTGCACCTAAACACTCTAAGGGACTCTCTGATTAGGTCCAAACCTTATAAGCGGTAATAATTCTACCAAACATCGAAATAGTACCAAACATCGAACTTTAATACCATCCACTATTTGGAAGGAACTTAAAAAAAAATTTAAAAAAAAAACTCAGAAAATACCCTTTAAATGTTGATGGGAGCTATACCAATTTTTTAGCCATAGGCTGCACTACCCATTACAAACGTAGAATATAAAATTTGAAACAATTCGGGTGAATGATGTCGCTAAAATCGTTAAATGCCGAATATCGAGAGAGGGGCTATACGAAGACGTGGACCTGCATACGAAATTTTTGGGTAAAGGCTGCACTACCCATTACAAACTTCGAAATCGAAATATGAAACAATTCAGGTGAATGATGTCGCTAAAATCATCAAAATACCGAGTATCGGGACTATGATGTTGGAAACATTTTTAAACGAAGGAATGACACCAGAAGAAATGGTCCGATTTCTACCATCTTTATAACAGATCAGAAGGAGTGGGCCGATATTGCCCATCTCAGAACTCGATATGAGTTTGATAATAATATTACGATGTAACAAGTTTGGACCAAATGGACCAATTCGCACTAGCCAGCCAGACAGACAGACGACGGACGGACATCGCCAGATCGATCACAAATGTCCTGTAACGTATTTGTTCCAAAGAGACCTAGGTTCTAAAACCGTTATTTCGATGAGGTACGTTTTGGCCGTATCAAACGAGCCATATGGCAGAGTGTATAATAAATTACTTGTTTATGAAGCCAACAGGAACCTCTTTCAACTTCGTTTCTTAAGTCTTTTTTTTTTTTTTTTTTTCATTCAAATATAATTCTACTTGTAATAATATGGGGGCTAAACGAAGGCCTGCATATAAAATTTTTAGCCATAGGCCCATTAGGAAATTAAAAAAAACCCTGGTGAATAATGTCGCTAAAATCATCAACCGAATATCGTGAGGTACTGTTATATGGAAAACGTGCACTGACATGGCCCATTTGCGAACTTAACCTGCCTACTGGCAAAATACACATATGTGCAATATTTTAGCCCTCTATCTCAATTCGTTCGGAAGATAGCGTGATTACAACAGACGGACACCGCTAAATCGTCTTAGAATTTTGCACAGATCCAGAATATATATACTTTGTAGGGTTAATCATGAATATTTCGAAGAGTTACAAACGGAATGACAAAGGTAATTTATGCCTCCATCGTATGGTGGAGGATATAAAAAGTATCCCATAAGAACGAAGGGATTTAGTTTAGTTGCTCTTAGCATTGATTTAATTCAATGGTGGAAAGGAGCAATTGACAGGTCCACCCGTTCGCTCTTCCTCTTCAAACGGTCTAACATTGAAATAATCCGAACTCTCCTGTGAGTAATTCTATGGATGTTTAATCTTCTATAATTTAAAATATAGGTGTACTCCACAGCTAACATCTAAAAAAGTCAATATTTCAAAAAAAAAAAAAAAAAAAAATTTCTTCCAATAAGATTTTTTTTTTGAAATATTGCTACGACATTTGAAATAGCTACGACATAATTTAGTTCTGAAAAGAAAAATAAATGTCGGACCCCACAAGGATTACAAAATCATGGTTCTTATAAAATGCGAAATGGTTTTACAATGGGTGTAAAAAATGAAAATCCTGGAAACGTTTAGGGGGGCCTATTCTAAAAAAAAATATATATAAAAAGGTATACATTTGTAGAAGAAGCCAGATTCCAGACCATAAGATGTTAAACTTTTTTCATTTTTGAAATCCAATTTGTTTTTCAACATACGAACTGAAGGTTCCTCTGTAGACGGGTTGAAGATATTTTTAATGCAGGACAAAAATTAGAAATTCGTTGTCCGCGTCAACCGCTGAAATATATTTCTCTAAAGGATAAAAAACTGAATGTTTTCTCAAAAGTTCTTCTTCCTTTCATTCAACAGAATATCAAAACCGATCTAGTTTTCAAAGGAGAAATAAGGTAGACACAGTCATCTTGAATATCGCATAGAAAATTGGGTCTTTTCCCTTCTCATGTAGTAACCAGCCATACAATCGGCTTAAATATACCTAATGGCTTTTGTTATTAGTTTGTATTTTTTAAAGGAATTATATTAAATATGTGTGAGAATGAAGCACAGGCCATCATCTTCAACCACAAAATTTTATACAAAAAAAAAAAAAAAAAAAAAAAAAAAAAAAAAAAAAAAACTGCAAGAAAAAACAAATTGCCCAACTTTTCTCCATGGCTATTATGGCACAAAAATATCAAAATCGTATTAACACATCACACACATACACACAATTGGTTCAATGCGATCTTGTCGACAATTGTTGTCACACAGACAACCATTGAAGATTACATTTGACACGCAAAATCACATTTCATTAAGCTTGATGCCGTCAATCTGCCACCGTCATCTTCAGGTTGTAAAATCGACCTCCTCCCCTGGAGGCAGCCATTCAACCATCCATGGTTCACAACCACCATCCACCATTGGTGATGTGCTACATTTGATAGCGAGTACGCTGTGTACCACTTTACATGAATTTGCAATGATGGCATGAATGAATAAAAGATTAAAAACGACAATACTAAGGCAAATGAAGATGTTGGAAGAAAACAACAACGACAATAACAATACAAAAAAAACGCAATAAAAATATAGGTGAATTACGTTACATAGGCTTAGCAATGAAAATAATGAAAAAAAAAATCAAAAAAACAGCAACAAAATATTTTGTAATATCAGATACAATTGCAAATTTGCACAATGCGCTACTGCAGTGGAAATAAAAGTTTTAGATTATCTTTTTATGTGCATAAATGAGAATTGCTGGCGGATAAAGAAAAGAATGCTGAGATAGATATGTGTTATTGATTTGAATAAAAAGAGGAGTGTGAAAACAAAAGACTTAAGAAACAAACTTCAAAATGAACTCAAACAAACAACATGGGATTCTGTTATGAATTCTTTTGATTTTTTGTTTTAGAAGAGATTATACTTTTACCTTGTTATATCCAATATACTGATGGATAAGTGAGGAGATAAACAAAAGACTTAAGACACAAACATGAAAACCTATGTAAAATACAATGATGCGCTTTCGAATGTACCTATGGACGATAATTTCAAATTTATAGATTTCGTTATAGTTATTTATATTTTATCTTTTTTTTTTGGAATTTTTTTTATTAATTGAATTAAGTAAAGACAGGTTAAACATTCACCATGATTTTAGACTCTAGCTGTTTTTGGACGATTGGAGTCAAACTAGCGATTTCCTCCCGCCCGTCTGTCTGGCTGGCTGCGCACGATAACTCTCTCGAGGGGAGCATCCGATTTGGTCCAAACTGGTACATCGTAATATTGGTATTAAACTTGGATCGAGTTCGGAAATGGGCAATATATGTCACTCCGTCTGGTACCTACTCCACAAAAGATCAAAATTTTCAAAAAAAAAAAATACTGCATAGAAAGGAAAAGTGTGGTCCGATTTTGCTCCAACTTTGCAAATACTAATATTTCCAGTATTAGTGCTACTTCAGGTACGAAAATGGACAATATCCACTCCAGCAAGTACCCACACCCAAAGGGCCAACATTTTGAAAAATGTGGTGTAAAAGTCCGTTTGTCTTTAAATTTCACACATCCTAATATTTTTATTAACTCAAAGTCTGGTGTGGAGATGGGATATATCGGTCTACTCCTTCTGGTACCTCCCCCACAAATGTCAACATGTTTAATATCCACAAAGCTCATAAAACGCCAAATTAATATCCGATTCCATTAAGACTTCGAACATCTATATATTTCTATCAACTCAAGACCTGTTATAAAGATGGTAGAGATCGGACCATTTTTTCTGGTACCTCCCCCACAAAGGGACAAAGTTTTGAAAAACGAAAACGATTATAAAATCCGAAATAAGCATCCGGTTCTCCTAATATTTCACACAACCCTCTGCTGTGAAGACGGGATGTATCGGTACACTCCTTCCGGTACCTCCCCTACAAAAGTTCAAATGTTGAACAATCATGAAGCTCATAAAACGCGAAATTGACATCCGATTACATTCAAACTTGATACATTTCAATAATTCCATCAACACAAGATCTTTTATAAAGATGGTAGAGATTTGAGCATTTCTTCTGGTACCACCCCCACATAGTGATCAAGATTTGAAATTTGAGAAACAAAACGATCGGAAAAAGCAGCAAACTCTTTTCAAATTTTACATGGGTATATGCTTCTGAATGGAAGTTCTTTAAAGATAAACAGGATTTCAAGACCCTCATTGGAAGATATATTATGGCCATTTCTATAAGAAGCCCTTGCAGACTTTCATTAAAAATAAAAAAATTAAATATTTTATAAATACATCGTTTCGATTTCTTTTTGGTACATACTGTTTTTCGCGACTTTCCAAACCTCAAAATAAAACAATTTTCTCATCTTCTTTGGAACACTATATTTTATAACATAATTTCTTTTGATCTGATACAAAAAAATCCTAGTCATCTTTAAAAAAGAATTTTATGTGAGTAAACGTGTGGTCTTCTCTCGTGAAATGTGTCCTGGTATTTTATAGAGGGTCCTATTAACTCTCAGAAAAACTATTTTGGTTTTTTATGCAGGAATGTAATAATGACCAAATGCTTTTCATTAAATCGGAAATTACAAAATTTGTTTTAAAAAGCCTATATATGGTAGTCTTGTTGCGTATCACCTGCTCCGCACGACTATAGCCTTTGCTTACTTTTTCTGAAATATCCATAACTTCTCTCAAAGGAGGACTTCATTTTCCACCTCATGTATATATTAGAAGATACAAAAAACTCGGATATATGTGCCTTAGAAGTTCTTCCAATATAAATAAAATTCTTCTATGAAATAGATTTCAATTTAATAACATTTCCCCTCTCTCTTTGCAGGCCTACCCCAAATATCACTACAACTACGGTGTTGCCGACTCACATACCGGTGATGTGAAATCCCAACACGAAGTACGTGACGGTGATGTTGTCAAGGGCTCCTACTCCTTGGTTGAACCTGACGGTTCAGTGCGCACCGTTGAGTACACCGCCGATGATCATAACGGTTTCAATGCCGTTGTCCACAAGACCGCACCCACTGTCCATGCTGTTGCCGCCCATGCTGCCCCAGCTGTGGTACATGCTGCTCCTGCCGCTCCCGCCTATCATGCTGGTCCAGCTGTGTATGCTCATGCCGCCCCTGCTGTTGCCCATCATGTTGCTGCCGCTCCCGCCGTACCATATGCCTCGGTAGCGCATCACGCTCCCGCCGCCATTGCTGTCGGTCATGGTTATGCTGGTTACGGACACGGTGCTCATGGTCATTACTAAGAAGCCATCTTCTAAATAGACCCCCCTTTTTTGTGTAATGTAAATTATTTAGTCTAGTAAGTAATAACGAAGAAACAAACAAACCACCCTATAACTAAATGTCACTGCCACACCCCCCTCGATGACGACCCCAGGATTTCAAAAAGGCCAAACGATAAAGTTTAAAAATGAAATGAATGAAAAACTAAAAACAACAACGAAGAGGAAGAAGTGAAGAATTATAAACAAATACAAGGTATAAGTAATTAGCAAGCAGTGAAATGGCAAAGTTTCGGTGAACTATTTAGGAGAACGGAATTAAGAAAAAAACCAAGAAATACTCTTAACTTTACAAGGAATACATCTAATGTACATAGATTTCCCTGAGATCTCCCCCAAGAGGATAGATCAGTATCTTTCTCTTCCTAAGCTTCCAACATTTTACTCATTAGTCACTCTCTCTCTCTCGCTCTCTGATTAGTTCCATTCACACTGCCCACCATCATCTTCCATATCTCAAAGTCATCATCTCCCCCCTCATCATCATCATCTCGGATGCGTGATTTCAATTTTTTTCTCATTTTCGTTTTCACTTTTCATTTCCATTTTTCGTTCGCATACCTGTCAAAGCTGTTTTTGTTTTGATTTCTATACGATTTCTAGATAGCCTCTAGTGCTGGAATTTTATCCACATTTAACAAAATACATTTGTAAACTATTAAAGCGAGTATTTAATTATGTACGTTTTGTATAATACACTCACATACACTCTGCATAAAAACAAACAGAAAACAAAACAATATTGTTAATTTATAAGTTTTATGTTTTTTTTTTTAATATTTTTTTATTATTAATCGAATGCATTAATGCTATGAACTAAATAAAGGAAAAAAATGTAGTAAATTTGAAAAACAAATTGTGTGTGTGTTTGAAATTTAATTAATTGGTTATTTCTGGTTGGATTTCAGACACGTTTGCCAGACTGACTTGAAGGTCATTTGTAACAAATGGGTTAAATGGTCATTAGCAGAGGCTAAGTTATTATTGGGTTATTTAACAGTAAATTTCGAACAATTATTAGGCAATTTGTTAATTGAGCCCACGAGGGGGGGGGGGGGGGGGTGTTGCAAATTGTATATTGAATTAAATTATTAATATTTTAATATACGTCTTACAAATAGTTTTGAGTTCTGAAACTGCCTTTATTTCAATAAAAAAAACAGTCAAAACATTAAGTTTGGCCGAGCCGAACTTTAAATACCCTCCACCACTGAGCAAAAAAAAAAATCATGAATTTAAACGTTTTGCACTTTAAACTAGAAATACCAGTAAGACCGTTAAGATAATGCTGTTAAACTTCTCAAAAAACCCTAAAGTGGGTGAGGTCGTTATATGGGGGTCATACAAAAAACGGGAACCGCTATAGACAATTTTATACTTCAAGAATTGTCATCTATCAAATCTTCTTAAAATATCAACTTTGAAACAATTTCGTGGATAAATGTCACTGTGATTATCAACGTGAACGTAAATATTAAATGTTTTGCCACCGCAACTAGAACCCACTATGAACTACAAATACAAATTTTTAGACAAACCCATGGAAAAATGTGGCAAAAATCATCAAAATATCGAATATCAGGAGGTACCGTTATATGGGGACTATACCAAAACGTGGACCTATACATGCAATGTTTCGCCACCGGAGCTAGAACCCACTATGACCATAAAATACCAATTTTTAGACAAATCCATGAAAAAATGCGGCAAATATAATCAAAATACCGAGGAGGTACCATTATATAGGGGCTATACCAAAACGTGAACCGATATATGTCATTTTCAATACCAACCATCCTAGTCACAATACAAATTATTCTGCTAAATTTTGACGTTCTACGTCAAATAATGTTGTCTGTATCGTGATTTCAACAGACAGGCGGACATCGTTAAATCGTCTTATAATTTTATGCTGATTATGAATATATATATATATATTATGGGGTTTACGACGAATATTTAGACATGTTACAAACGGAATGACAAAGTTAATATACCCTCCTTTCCAAGGTGGAGGGTATATTAACTTTGGGAATAACTCTTTCCATCACCAATAAAGGGGGGAGTATTGGTTACACCCTCAGCCATATGGCTAGCGAGGGTATATATAATTTTATACGGCCAAAACGTGCCTCATCGAAATAACTGTTTTAGACCCTAGTTCTCTGTGGACCAAATCCGTTTCAGTACATTTGCAAATCCTAATATTTCCATCAGTGCTAGTCAGGGGCGAAAATGGACAATATCGATTCAGTCCATCAAGTACCTCCACACAAAGGGCCAACATTTTGTATAATTATAACTTTTACAAAATTTGAAGTAAGAGCCTGATTGTCACACAAGGTCTGGTGTGAAGATGGAATATATCAGTCCACTCCTTCAACTCCTCCAGACCAATTCCTTCTAGTACCTCCCTCAGAAAGCGTCAAAATTTTGAATAACCAAAACGATTATAAAATCCGAAATAAGCCTCCGTTTTCTTTTATATTTCACAAATCCCATTATTTTTGCAGTGAAAATGGGATATATCGGTCCATCTATGCCAGAATGAGAGGTCCAAGAATAAATGATCTAATTAAGCAATTTATCGAAAAAAAGTTTGATACATATAGGCCGATATTTAAATTCTGAACCATGGTAGGAACTCTCTTCCAGAATTTTCATCCAGAAAGATGAATGAACTTTACGACATGCCTTATTGAACACAAAACGCCTTGAAATATATCATGCAGACAGATGTGAAGTCTGAAACCGCCTTTGATTCAATTAAACCAGTTGTGACTTTATAATCATTAAAACATACTAGGATTCTAGGATTTAAGCAAGACTTAAATAGGGAATACAGTGTTGGGAAATGGGAAGATTTAAGAATCTCAACTTTTCACTTCGATAGAAAAAAATACCATTTCCGGAAAATTGGACAGGAATTGGGCAAATTCCATTACAATACAAAAAATGCGTTACAATTTTTAAGAAATTTTCAGATTTTTAGTTATTTTTTGACCTTTATTTTAAATTATTTCAAATGTAAGTTTAATAAAATTGAGCTCGAGGTCTTTGTTGTTTTTTATTATTTATTTATTATTTTCGATATTTAGTCCTCTGACGGAAGACATCATCAGGAACAATATTTGACAACAAAAATTTACAACATTTCGCCAAGTACCGACGTCGACCTTGTGTTGCTGTCATCTGTTTTGTCACTGCAACACAAGGTCGACGTCGGTACTTGGCGAAATGTTGCAAATTTTTGTGGTATGTAAATATAGTTCCTGATGATGTCTTCAGGACGAAATATCGAAAAAAATAAATAAATAAAATAAAAAAAAAAACAAGTAAAAAAGTATCGGTCGGTTTTGACGACAGATGTATACCCTCATCCAATGATCGATTATTTAAAAATATTTCGACTTCTGTTATGAATTTTCCAACTCTTGACTCTCTATGGAGTGGGTTTTGAAAGAATGGGTCAACATTGTCCATTTCACATCGGACCTAAATAAATATGATATAAATATTATTATGAATATATAAGAAAATCGAAAATTTATATCTAATTAATGGGGAATCATAAATTCCATATTCATCTCAGGATTCTGGTTGAGAGACATATATTTAGATATAGCAAGTTGTAAAGAATCGCTGAGTTCTTTCGCAATTTATGACAGATAAATGTATTGAAAATTGTGTCCCTTTGTGGGTGAGGTACCAGAAGGGGTTCGCAGATGTATAACATCGTCACAAAAGATCTTGTCTTAGCAAAAATGTTTGTATGTGTGGAATTTGAAGAGAGTTTGATTCTTATTTCGTTTTCTTTGAGCGTATTGTTTTTCAAAATCTTGAACCCTATGTGGAACAGGTAGCAAAAGAAATGGTCCGATCTATAACATCTTTAAACAGATCTTGTGTTGATGGAAATATTTTAGATGTACCATGTCTGGAATGGAATCGGATGTTGATTTCGCTTTTTGTGAGCTTCATGGATATTCAAAATTTTTGAGCGTTTGAGAGGGAGGTACAAGAAGGAGTGGACCGATATATTCCATCATAACGCCAGACCTTGGGTAAATATAAATATGTGTGAAATTTGAAGAGAATCGGACTCTTACATCACATTTTATGAGAGTTGTAATTATTCAAAATTTTGACCATTTGTGGGGAAGGTACTTGATGGAGTGAACCGATATTGTGCATTTTCACACCTAACTTAGCTCTGACACAAATATTAGGATTTGCAAAGTTGGAGCAAAATCGTATTATCCTTAAACTTTCTGTGGAAACATTTTTTTTAAATTTCGACCTTTTGTGGGGGAGGTATCAGAAGGAGTGGACCGATAATGCCCATCTCCGAACTAAATCTAAGTTTGACAAAAATATTACAACGAACCAAGTTTGAACCACCAGCCAGCTAGCCAGATAGACAGACGGACGGACATCGCTAGATCGACTCCAAATGTTCTGAAACGAAAGAGACCGAGGGTCTAAAACCGTTATTTTGACTAGGCACGTTTTGACCCTATCAAATGATATATACCCTCTGTAGCCATATGGCTGAAGGTATAACTATAGCCATATGACTGAGGGTATAAATAGAAAAGGAAATAGTCCAAAGCCTACTTTTTAAATGTTTTCCTCTAATACAAGGCCGTTTTGTTTTATATCGCCCATTACTCCACAGAAATAGGTCTGGGAGACCGGAACAGACCAGCGTCCCTCTTATGTGTTACAATTTATTTTGTTTTGAAACGTGGGTTGTTTTATTTTATACAACAGGAATTCATTCGATTGAATTTTTTACAATAAAACAGTGTAGAGTTTGTGTCTTAAGTCTTTTGTTTTTATAACAGTTTTACGGTTATTGTGAATGACATCACTCTTTGCGCACAAAATAACACTATAAAATACCTCGAAATGAATTTCATTCAAACATAGGTTTCTTGAAGCATATCTTAGGGATGTTGCAAGTATTTAAACACTAAATACCCTAGTTAAAGTATTTTTTTTTTTGGTCCCATAA